CGGCCTGGGATTTATTTATTATTATTATTTTATTTTTACTTTTTTTTAGTTGGAGTCTCACTCTGTCACCCAGACTGGAGTACAGTGGCCGCTCCCGGCCACCGCAGCCTCGACCTGCTGGGCTCCGGCGATCCTTCCGCCTCAGCCTTCCAAGTAGCCGGAATTACAGGCGCGCGCTACCACGTCCAGCTGATTTTTTGATTTATTGTAGAGATGAGGTCTCGCCAAGTTTCTCAGGCGGGTCTCGAACCTGCGGGCTCAGTCAATTCACTCCCCTCGGCCTCCCAAAGCGCAGGATTACAGGCTGAGCCACCAAGCCCGGCCTGGGATTTATTTTTAACTTATCATTTTTGGAGGTCCCATAGAGATCTTTAACCTAAAAGTTAAGTTACCTAGATAATCTGCATCCAAATGCTTGTTTTCATTGATTAAAGTCTGCTTTAAAAAAAGAAAAGAAAGAAAATGGCATAAAAACATCTCTTGGGCAGCTTCAGTGGCTCAGCCTGTCATCCCAGCGCTTTGGGAGGCTGAGGCGAGTGGACTGCCTGAGCCCGTGGGTTCGAGACCAGCCCGGGCAACTTAGCTAGACCTCATCTCTACAATAAATCAAAAATTAGCCGGGAGTGGTAATGCGTGCCTGTAGTTCTGGCTATTTGGAAATCTGAGGCAAAAGGATTGTCAGAGTCCAGCTGGTCGCTGATGAGGTGGCCATAAGGGTGCCACTGCCCTCCAGCCTGGGTGACAGAGGAAGATGCCATCTCAAAAAAAGAAAGAAAATGACATAAAAACGTCTCTTGGGCAGCCAAGAACTCTCCCTCCATCGGGAATCTACCAGCTAGACCACAAGCAGGACTGGAAGGGGCGATGTCTGAGGCTTCCAGCAGTTCTGTCTTTCTGTAGCAGGTGACCCAAGGGGGCTCTAAGGCGTCCCTGCTTGCCCGCAGGACTGGACAAGGTGGACAGGAAGAAGACCTCATTCACAACTTGGCCCAGGAGGCTGGCCCTGCTGGTATCAATTGTGGCAAAACACACATAACACAGCTGTTTGGCTTTGTTTGCAGCCGGGATCTCCCTCTGAAGCCCAGGCTGGAGTGCAGTGACATGACCAAGGCTCATCACAGCCTCAACCTCCTGGGTTCAGGTGATTCTCCCTCCTCAGCCTCCCAAGGAGCTGGGACCACAGGTACCAGCATGCCCTGCTTTTCTTATTTTTTTGTAGAGATGAGGTCTCACTATGTTGTGCAAGCTGGTCTCTAACTCCTGGGCTCAAGCAATTCTCCTGCCTTGGCCTCCCTAAGTGCTGAGATGACAGGCGTGAGCCACCACGCCCAGCCTCATAACAAAATGTAAGCATTTGGGGGTAGACAATTCAGGGGCACTAAGTGCATTCACTACTAGGGAGGCTGAGGCGGGAGGCTCTCTTGAGCTCAGAAGTTTGAAACCAGCCTGGGGAACAGAGCAAGACCTCAATTTTCTTTTTTTTTTTTTTTTTTTGGAGTTGGAGTCTCACTCCATTGCCCAAGCTGGAATGCAGCAGCACACTCACAGCCACCCCAGTATGGACCTGTGGGACTCCAGCGATCCTTCTGCCTCAGTCTTCCAAGTAGCCGGAACTACAGGCGCACACCGCCATGCCCAGCTAATTATTTTTTTGAGTTGGAGTCTCACTCTGTCGCTGACTGGAGTGCAGTGGCCACTCCCGGTCACCGCAGCCTCGACCTCTGGGCCCTGGAGATCCTTCTGCCTCAGCCTTCCGAGTAGCCGTAACAACAGGTGCACACTACCGCCTCTGGCTAATTATTTATTTATTTATTGTAGAGACGAGGTCTCGCCAAGTTGCTCGGGTGGGTCGCCAAGGCGGGGGTGCTCAGGCAATCCACTCACCTCGACCTCCCAAAGTGCTGGGATGACAGGCTGAGCCACCCAGCCCGGCCTTTTTTTTTTCTTTAATTGAATTGTAGAGACAAGGTCTCACCATGTTGCCCAGGCTGGTCTCGAACCGGTGGGCTCAGGCAATCCTCTCGTCTCACTTTCCCAAAGTGCTAGGATGACAGGCTTGAGCCACCGCACCAGATCTCAAATTTTTTGAAAAAG